AAAAAAGCTTGCATGTGCAAGTGTTACATTTTGATATTTTAGAGTGGTCTAGATTTTGCTATAAATTTAAACTCCAGTCAGTCTTTTTTTGCTCCTAAGGCTGCTGAGTTCTGTGTCACTAGAACTTTTGCAGCTTTCAAAGGACTGGCCTAGCGCAGCTTGTGGAAGTGGCACTCACTGTCTTGGCTGCACTAATTTAATGCTACGGCCTCCTATGTTAAGCACTTGGCAACGAGAGCAAGGCTGGCTCACTTGGGCTCACGGTCCTGGCTGCACTAATTTAATGCTATGGCCTCCTATGTTAAGCACTTTGGCAACGAGAGCAAGGCTGGCTCACTTGGGCTCACCAAAGAGCCCCATAATTACACACCCAGACAAAAGAAATCACAGCTTTTTGAAGGAGCAGGAAGAGAAAGCATTTGAAAGTGATTCATCTGAAATTATTAACAGCAGCTCAAAAGGAGGAAGGACGCTATCAGGAAACATTTTCTGGATTACTGACCAATAAAATAAATCTGTGGGTGATAGTACAAACTGTTGCTAAACTGAGAGCTAGTCTACTGTACTGAGAACGGTGCTGGGAATGAGGCATTTCTGAGATGTAATCCTGGTTATGACACTGATTTAATTTATAGTTCTGGGCAAAGTACTTAGGCCCAAATCCAGTAAGACATTTAAGCAGGTGCTTAACATTCACTATGAGTAGTCCCATTTATTCATGTTTAAAATTAAGTATGTACTTACTTGCTTTGCTGGATCAAGGCCTTAACTTCTATGTATGTTTCTCCAAAGTAAAGTGAGGAAACTAATATTTAACTAGGTTAGCTCATTGGGATGCTGCGATGTTGAATATTTGTATTATGCTTTACAGATATTAACTGTATGCTAATTATGATGACCCTTCCTAAGATGACTGCTGCATGGGCTGAAGTGTTAGGTTATATATAATAATAGTGAACATCGGGATGTCAAGGAGTTCTAGTGTTTATTAAGCAATTCTTTGCTCTTGGCACAGTCTCACTCATTTAGTGGCACAGTTACTGCTGGCATCACAGCTCTGCTTAAATTACTTTATTGTGATGTGACTTCCAAAAATACTTACAACCCCGCTTGTTTAAAAGGAGGCCGGATATTTTTCACAAATTGTAGTCTTTGAAGTTTTAAAAAGTCTTTATTAAGCTTTATTTAATGTCCACATTATGGTTTGAACTGTGCTAGCCACTGCTATGTACCTAATGTATTTATATGCTGTATTTGTAAACATCATGGGGAGCAGGCTTGTAGCCAAGTTATTATGACCAATGTGAACAAGGATATTTTTAGAAAAAACCTCTCATAGATCCATGCTATAAAAGCATGCTCTAGGCATGGAGTAATAAAAAGCAACGTTCGAGTAACTCGCTCTCAACACAGATGTTGTTTGAACCTTACAGCAACAAGAGTTGTGGCTAGTACAGTATTAATGCAAGGGTGAATATAGCCTAACCAAGAAATGGCCCAATACTACAAAGTCATTACATGATTGACAGTAGTGGGGTTATTCCTGTGAGTACAAACTAATTGTGTGATGAAGGAGTTGCAGGCTTGGGCCCTAATAACATAGGGAAGATATTACAAAAAGGTGATGCTAAGAAGCATTAATTGGCTCTAGTTAGCTGGATGTGCTCTATCCTTTTCCTTTTTCCTAAATACAACAGAAATGGAATCTATGTTTCCTGAACAAGCTTGAATCATTGTTGGTCTGAGAGAGGCTGTTGGGGCTCTGTAACTCCCCATCTCATTCCAGTCACAACTTTTCCAACAAGTTGTATTGATATCATGCTATTTGAAACTTAGGATGACAGTGTATTTTTGCCTTTATGTAGTGTCTTTCATCAGCACATTGTTTGGTACACGAATTTCTAAATGAAATATAGGTTTTGTCTATACTGCAATAAAACACTAGTGGTTAGCCTCTGTCAGCTGATTTGGACATATGAGGCTTGGCTATGGAGCTATAAATTGCAGTGTAGATGTTTGGGGTCAGACTGGAGTCTGAGCTCTGGAACTTTCCACCCGCAAAGTCTCAGAGACCAGGCACCAGCCTGACCCTGAATGTTTGCACTGGAATTTTACAGGAATTTTACAGCCCTGTAGCCCAAGCCTCAGTCACCTGACACAGGCCAGCTGTGGGTGTTTAATTGAAGTGTAGACAAGTGCAATTGGTACTAGAGCTGATTAAAACCTGAAATTTCTGTTCTGCTGCAAATTCCAAAACTTCAAAATTTTCTGTCATCCCAGTTTCAATCGAAATGTCTAGACTTCAGGCTTCTTTTGAAAAGAAATGTCTAGACTGCAGGCTTCTTTTGAAAGAAGCTTTTCTGGAAGAGATCTTCTGAAAGAGAGCATCCACACTGCCAAAGTGCGTCAAAAAAGCGATCTGCTTTTTTAAAAGATAGCATCCACACTGAATGGACGCTATATCACATTTAAGCTGTGATTACTATGGACGGAGTGGTCACCAGGGCACTTGTGCTTTTTCCTCTTTCCTCTTCTTTCGAAAAAACTCCCTTTTCCATGTCCACACGCCTTTTTCTGAAAGATCTCTTTCCGAAAGGCGTTCTTCCTCATAGAATGAGGTTTATCAATGTCGGAAAAAACCCCTGCGTTCTTTCGATTTTCTTTCGAAAGAATGCAATAGCAGTGTGGACGTAGGTGAAGTTTTTCAGGAAAACAGCCATTTTTCAAAAAAAACAACAACAAAACCCTGCAGTCTAGACATACCTAGACACTTCTACTGAGCTTGTGAAATCTGACAGAATCACAGTTTGATGATGTGGTATTCCTGAAAGATAGTCACTTTTAGGACTGTAGAGACAAATTTACCTCCAGTCTAATATTCTAGTCTGTTTTTCACAATTTTGCCTGTTTTTCACAATTTTGTCTTTTTTGTGGCTGATAAAGGGAATATAGTAGATGTAGCACATTTCAGTTTTAAGAAAGCATTTATTTGACTCACAAAATCTTAATAGAAAATATATTTATCTAAGAGAGATGCTAACATGTGGATTTAAGACTGGCTATGTACTAAGTAGGGGGACTATTTTAGTTTTCCTGGACGTGATCCTTTAGGGTTCTGAAGACTTTCAACTCCTTTTAAATTTGAAGCCAGTACAGTAAAGGACATTGAGGCCAAGATTTTTAAACTTTAGAGTCTAAATATAGGGTCGCGTGTACATATTTCCAGGTTTCTAAATTGCTGGCCTGGTTTTCATAAATTCTGAATAATCAGCAGTTTCCAGTGACTTCATTGGGAATTCCTGGCTGCTCAGAACTTAAAAATCAGGCTTGTTATTTAGGAACATACATAGGAATTTAGGAGCCTATTTACAGACTATTGTTTTTTGAAAGTTTTTATCTAAAAGTCTTGCAGGAGGTGCCCAGCATTTATAGATTGGACTCTTAAATTACTGTTTTTCCTGCATCCTTAAATTTGTCTCATGTAATGTTCCTCACTTGTGTTTTGGCAGTGAAAGCTAGGAGTATGCATTTCAAAGCCGAGATCTTGGCTGAAATCCTTTTTGTACACCCATTTGCCTGTGAGCTAACTATGATTTTATATTGTGATGTTTCATCAGATCTATAAAATGTAAACCATACTTCGCCTGCATGTTTTGGCAAGTCCTGTTTTTAGCCATAAGGCTTCTCTGATTTTTGGCTGCAGTGTATCTATGGGAATATAGACAGTTGTTGCTTTGTATCTAAAAGTAATGTTCTAAGAAGCAGTTTTAGAACTGAAAATAAGTTTATGTAAAAAAGCATCAGACTAGTTTTGTGCTAATATGTGGATTCTGATCTTGCTAAGGGAGTTATGTTTTTTCTGATCATAGACAATAGTGAACTATGTTTTGATGTGGAATTTAAAGGAGAATGGAAATATCAGTACACAATTTAACTCTGATGTGTGCTCTTCTGGGGCAAATTTAAAGCCAAAAACTCAGCTAGTGTAAAATTAATGTTGTGACTCTGACTGGAGCTATGCTGATTTATAGTAGATTAGAAACTGTCCTGTATTTTAGACTATATGAGTTTTATTCTGTCCCTAACAATAATAGCTTTTGAACATCACACATGACAATAATATTGTAATGATTTCAAATGTGATTCATTATTCTAAACTTTATACATTTTAATAAATGGTAGGGCAAACCTGTAGGGTTGACAGCTCTCCCGCTTACCCTGGAGTCTCCTGGAATCACGCCTTGTCTTGTGGGGGAGCTTTCATTCAAACTGGGAAATTTTGGATGCTAACTGTCCAGCATTGCAGCAGAGCAAAGGCAAACTCCCTTACCTGCTTTCACTCTGCACAACTCCTGGAAGTGGCCAGCACCCTCCCTGCAGCCCCTCCAGGGGCAGAGAGTCTCTGGCTAAGTCTACACTGGCATGATTTGCGCAAGAACTCTTTTTTGGAAGAGTTCTTTTGCAAAAACTCTTCCAGAAGAGAGCGTCTACACTGGCATGTGCCTTTGCGCAAGAGATGTGCTTTTGCACAAGAGCATCTATGCCAGTGTAGACACTCTCTTGCGCAAGAAAGAGATGCACAAGATGGCCATTTTAACCATAAGACTTTCTTGCACAAGAAATTCATGTTGCCTGTCTACACTGGCCTCTTGCGCAAGAAAAGTTGCGCAAGATGGCTTATTCCTGAGTGGGAGCATCATAGTTCTTGCACAAGAAGCACTGATTTCATACATTAGAACGTCAGTGTTCTTGTGCAAGAAC